CTGGATGGTTCGCCATCGAAGCCTGGATGGGAAGGAGGCAGGGGGGATGAATGGAAATGGAATGGGATGGTAGGTAGGTAGGGAGGCACGGAGGTAGGGTGGAAGGGAGAGTGGGGTGCATGTTGTCATGACTGGAGTGCAGTGGGAGACCTAAGGTGAACGCAGCGAGAAAAGCAGGTGGAGGGATGGGGCCATGGGCGAAAGGAAGGGAAGTAAGGAGGATGAGAGGGCGGGAGGATGAGAGGAAGGGCGGATGAGAGGAAAGGAGGATGAGAGGAAGGGCGGATGAGAGGAAGGTTGGATGAGAAGAAGGGCGGATGAGGGGGCGGGCGGAAGAAGGGGAGGGAGGACGAGAGGAAGGGAGGACGAGAGGAAGGGCGGATGAGAGGGAGAGAGGATGAGAGGTAGAGAGGATGAGAGAGAGAAGGGCGGATGAGAGGAAGGGAGGATGAGAGGAAAGGAGGATGAGATGAAGGGAGGATGAGAGGATGGGCGGATGAGAGGAAGGGCGGATGAGGGGGAGGTCGGAAGAAGGGGAGGGAGGACGAGAGGAAGGGAGGACGAGAGGAAGGGCGGATGAGAGAGAGAGAGAGGATGAGAGGTAGAGAGGATGAGAGAGAGAAGGGCGGATGAGAGGAAGGGAGGATGAGAGGAAAGGAGGATGAGATGAAGGGAGGATGAGAGGATGGGCGGATGAGAGGAAGGGCGGATGAGGGGGAGGTCGGAAGAAGGGAAGGGAGGACGAGAGGAAGGGAGGACGAGAGGAAGGGCGGATGAAAGGGCGGGAGGATGAGAGAGAGAAGGGCGGATGAGAGGAAGGGAGGATGAGAGGAAAGGAGGATGAGATGAAGGGAGGATGAGAGGATGGGCGGATGAGAGGAAGGGCGGATGAGGGGGAGGTCGGAAGAAGGGGAGGGAGGACGAGAGGAAGGGAGGACGAGAGGAAGGGCGGATGAGAGGGAGAGAGGATGAGAGGTAGAGAGGATGAGAGAGAGAAGGGCGGATGAGAGGAAGGGAGGATGAGAGGAAAGGAGGATGAGATGAAGGGAGGATGAGAGGATGGGCGGATGAGAGGAAGGGCGGATGAGGGGGAGGTCGGAAGAAGGGGAGGGAGGACGAGAGGAAGGGAGGACGAGAGGAAGGGCGGATGAGAGGGAGAGAGGATGAGAAGTAGAGAGGATGAGAGAGAGAAGGGCGGATGAGAGGAAGGGAGGATGAGAGGAAAGGAGGATGAGATGAAGGGAGGATGAGAGGATGGGCGGATGAGAGGAAGGGCGGATGAGGGGGAGGTCGGAAGAAGGGGAGGGAGGACGAGAGGAAGGGAGGACGAGAGGAAGGGCGGATGAAAGGGCGGGAGGATGAGAGAGAGAAGGGCGGATGAGAGGAAGGGAGGATGAGAGGAAAGGAGGATGAGATGAAGGGAGGATGAGAGGATGGGCGGATGAGAGGAAGGGCGGATGAGGGGGAGGTCGGAAGAAGGGGAGGGAGGACGAGAGGAAGGGAGGACGAGCGGAAGGGCGGATGAAAGGGCGGGAGGATGAGAGAGAGAAGGGCGGATGAGAGGAAAGGCGGATGAGAGGAAGGGAGGATGAGAGGAAGGGCGGATGAGAGGAAGGGCGGACGAGAGGAAGGGAGGACGAGAGGAAGGGTGGATGAGAGGAGAGGAGGATGAGAGGAAGGGAGGTTTGGAGGAAAGGCGGATAAGAGGAAGGGAGGATAAGATGAAGGGAGGATGAGAGGATGGGTGGATGAGAGGAAGGGAGGATGAGAGGATGGGTGGATGAGAGGAAGGGCGGATGAGGGGGAGGGCGGAAGAAGGGGGGGGGAGGACGAGAGGAAGGGAGAACGAGAGGAAGGGCGGATGAGAGGGCGGGAGGATGAGAGGTAGAGAGGATGAGAGAGAGAAGGGCGGATGAGAGGAAGGGAGGATGAGAGGAAAGGAGGATGAGATGAAGGGAGGATGAGAGGGAGGGCGGATGAGAGGGAGAGAGGATGAGAGGAGAGGAGGATGAGAGGAAGGGAGGATGAGAGGAAGGGAGGATGAGAGGATGGGTGGATGAGATGAAGGGAGGATGAGATGAAGGGAGGATGAGAGGATGGGCGGATGAGAGGGCGAGAGGATGAGAGAAGGGCGGATGAGAGGTTGGGAGGATGAGAGGAAGAGAGGATGTGAGGAAGGGCGGATGAGGGGGAGGGCGGAAGAAGGGGGGAGAGGACGAGAGGAAGGGAGGACGAGAGGAAGGGCGGATGAGAGGGCGGGAGGATGAGAGGTAGAGAGGATGAGAGAGAGAAGGGCGGATGAGAGGAAGGGAGGATGAGAGGAAAGGAGGATGAGATGAAGGGAGGATGAGAGGGAGGGCGGATGAGAGGGAGAGAGGATGAGAGGAGAGGAGGATGAGAGGAAGGGAGGATGAGAGGAAGGGAGGATGAGAGGATGGGTGGATTTCATGAAGGGAGGATGAGATGGAGAGAGGATGAGAGGGAGAGAGGATGAGAGGGCGAGCCCTTGAGAGAAGGGCGGATGAGAGGGCGGGAGGATGAGAGAGAGAAGGGCGGATGAGAGGAAGGGAGGATGAGAGGAAGAGAGGATGTGAGGAAGGGTAGGATGAGAGGAGAGGAGGATGAGAGGAAGGGAGGATGAGAGGAAGGGAGGATGAGAGTATGGGTGGATGAGATGAAGGGAGGATGAGATGAAGGGAGGATGAGAGGGAGGGCGGATGAGAGGGCGAGAGGATGAGAGAAGGGCGGATGAGAGGGCGGGAGGATGAGAGGAAAGGAGGATGAGAGGAAGGGCGGATAAGAGGAAGGGAGGATGAGATGAAGGGAGGATGAGAGGGAGGGCGGATGAGGGGGAGGGCGGAAGACGGGGAGGGAGGACGAGAGGAAGGAAGGTCGAGACGCAGGGCGGATGAGAGGGAGAGAGGATGAGAGGGAGACAGGATGAGAGAAGGGAGGATGAGAGGAAGGGTGGATGAGAGGAAAGGAGGATGAGAGGAAGGGCGGATAAGAGGAAGGGAGGATGAGATGAAGGGAGGATGAGAGGATGGAGAGGTGGAGGAAGGGCGGATGAGGGGGAGGGAGGACTCGAGGGAAATGAGTGCGACGGGAAGGGAAATGAGGGCGACGGGAAGGGTAATGTTTGCGACGGGAAGGGTAATGGGGGGTGACGGGAAGGGAAATGAGGGCGACGGGAAGGGAAATGAGTGCGACGGGAAGGGAAATGAGGGCGACGGGACGGGAAATGAGGGCGACGGGAAGGGAAATAAGTGCGCCGGGTCGGGAAATGAGTGCGACGGGAAGGGAATTGAGGGCGACGGGAAGGGAAATGGGGGCGTCGGGAAGGGAAATGAGGGCGACGGGAAGGGAAACGAGGGCGACGGGACGGGAAATGAGGGCGACGGGAAGATGGAATGAGGGCGACGGGAAGATGGAATGAGGGCGACGGGAAGATGGAATGAGGGCGACGGGAAGATGGAATGAGGGCGACGGGAAGATGGAATGAGGGCGACGGGAAGATGGAATGAGGGCGACGGGAAGATGGAATGAGGGCGACGGGAAGATGGAATGAGGGCGACGGGAAGATGGAATGAGGGCGACGGGAAGATGGAATGTGGGCGACGGGAAGATGGAATGAGGGCGACGGGAAGATGGAATGTGGGCGACGGGAAGATGGAATGAGGGCGACGGGAAGATGGAATGTGGGCGACGGGAAGATGGAATGAGGGCGACGGGAAGATGGAATGAGGGCGACGGGAAGATGGAATGAGGGCGACGGGAAGATGGAATGAGGGCGACGGGAAGATGGAATGAGGGCGACGGGAAGATGGAATGAGGGCGACGGGAAGATGGAATGAGGGCGACGGGAAGATGGAATGAGGGCGACGGGAAGATGGAATGAGGGCGACGGGAAGATGGAATGAGGGCGACGGGAAGCTTCTCACCATGCGATATGTGAAAGGCAGGCGCGACCAAATGGCGGGGAGGGGATTTCCCGGGCAGGGCGGGAGGCAAGATGCTGAGGCTGTCTCTAGCGCGTTTGTTTCTAATCGGCTCCGACGCGCGGCGTAAGATGGCTACGCATGGCAGACGATGGATACGTCCGCCCTGTGACCTATGGGAAGCGAGCGTGGTCGAGTGTTTGTGTATTAGCCTATACTTTTAGACTCTCTGAATAAATCGCCAGTTCAGGCCTCGATGTGTCTCGCTAACTCACGTCTGCACTGGCATTTAGTAACAGCCTCCTCTATCCTCACCCTAAGCATCGCACTTTGCTGGTCCAGTCCACACGGACATTCGCTCCCTACGGCTATTCCGCGTATTTCTAGAATCTAAGGTGGCGCCCTGCTGAAGTGGACTAAGCAACTAATATGTTTGTTCGAGTGCATGTGTGGCTGCTCAAACTGTGCACAGTTTCCCTGGCACGTTGCTTCTCAGGTTTGTCGAGTTTGGGAAGAAGGGCCCTGCCTGCTTTTTACAACCAATCAGCATGTAGGGAGTTTGTGGCGAACTACTTTCAGTCGCAAAGTGTTTTTGAGGCTTCGCCTGTCACTCAACCCATCCGAACCTCCAACTGGCAGCCCGCCGAACCTAGAAATACTCAGTTGACTTCCGTTGAGTAATTCAGGTCTTGGGCTTTAACAGAAATTGGCTCGTGTAGGCCTCAACTCTTCTATCCAACCTTGTCTTCTGGACACACTCCGTTTAGATGGCAACTAGAACTGCTGGCTCCAGTAACTGACAGTGCATCTTGCCTTCCACTGGACCACACTTTTTAGAACCTAATCGCTAGATAAGACTAGCTTTACGGCGCACATCCACCTGGTCGAGTACTGATAGGATTCCTGTTGGCAGCTGTCATTGCAATGTACGATAGGCATTAACATTATTCCTGGGCTTGATCTCCCATTATTTTTTTCGTCATCGTTCCTAGGTAGCTGCTACCTTACCTCAAAACTCCTGAAGCGCTTCTTCACCTGTCGTCAACCGTCCGATCGCCCAGAATGGGCTCGCATCGTCGGCTAGTAATACCTCATCGATCGTCTACTAATTACCATAGCTCCCATCTGTCTGCGCGGTGCCGGAGTCCAACGCTTGCAGTCCTCTTGCTGCTCGTCGCGTCAAGCGCGTGCTTGCTATGTCCACTCCGCTCCGCCAACGCGCAAGCTGTAGCAGACAGCCAACGTGAGGACACTTTTATATCTTTCACCCTCTTTTCCGCTTGCGGCGGCCCCATGGCCGCTTCCTGGTGCCGTTTTCAACTTTCACCCCTTCCGTTCTCGCATCGACGCGCTGTTAGCTAGACTGTAGGTACGATCAGGGCAGCTACCGAGTTTTTCGTGCGTTTGCGCGTTCTTCGCGAATACGCGATGAGAAGCGCACACTATTATTATTACCATATCTTCTGCTCCTTCTCATTCATGCTCATTCCTGCTTACCCCCTTCCCGCCCCTTCCCCTTCCCCCTTTCCCCCATTCCTGCTTTTCCCAGGACCGGCTCTGGCGGCGATAATGGATGTGTGGGGCGCGGCGCTCAATCTGAACGCCACGTGGTTCGTCACGCCGACCTGCGCGCAATGGCAGGGGCTCGCCTGCAACGCCATGGGCCAAGTCACCTCCTTGTGCGTCTCGCCAACCCCCTCCTATTTCCGCATTAAGCACACCTTCCACCTGGCACTTGACGTTTTGCGATGCCCTCTTCAAGAGACGACTTCCGTCTTCCTGCCCTATTCAAGACCCGCCACCTCTCTTCCTGTCACGCTTCAGTTCAACCACACTATTTTAACTTTCCGCGCATTTGACCGCGCACCTCACCGCCCATATCTCCGCTCATTTAAGCGCGCATCTACGCGTCGACATCCCTACGCGCGCCCCTTATTTCCCACTCGCGTTTTTCTCACCGTTCGTCTTTTCCTTCCTCTTTGCCTTGCCGCGGCGCGGCTCTACTCCCCTACGGTTTGTCCCCAGAGAGTTTACCGGCCGCCGCCAGCTAGTCGGACAGAGCATCCCCGCCGCCATCACCCAACTCGGCGCGCTACAGCGATTGTAAGCGGCGGAGTCTCTGCTTGAAGGGGCGGGGGAGGGCGGGCGGGCAAGGGAGAGGGAGGGGGGCGGGGGCGCGGGTGGTTGGAAATGCAGGGTGGGAAAGATGGCAGGTCCGAGGGGAGGGAAGCGGAGAGAAACTGTCACAAATTTCCGCCATTGCTTCCTGATTGGTTATCCTTTTCCGTCCCCAATCCCCTCTGCCGCCCGGTCACAGGACTCTGGATCGCAATCTCCTGGTGGGCAGTGTGCCGCCCAACATCGGATACCTCTCCGCCCTCACCAACCTGTACGCCGCCTCTCCCCCCATTCACACTCTCAACCGTTCCGCACTATTTCGCCTCCGCCGTCTCTTCGTCCCCCCCGCGCGCGCGTTCCCGTTCCGCGTTCCGACAACCGCTCCCCAGCATTGTTCCTCCCCGCGCCCGTCGGGGCATTTTCCTCCTCCAATCGCCTTTTTCGCGTATCATCTAGCGAATACTATTTTCCGCCGCTCAGTAGACTCATTCTGTAGTCACCTCTCTCCTTCCGCGCGCCCCTTCCCCGCCCCTTCCCCGTCCCTCTCCGTCCGCGGCAGCTCGATGGGCGGAAACGCGTTGCAGGGCAGCATTCCCGCGGGCATCTCCACCCTCGTCAGCCTCCGCGTGCTGTACGCTCCGCGCCCCCTGCCGCATCCCGCGTCGCACCCCTCGCCGCACGCCCCGCTGCACTTACCTTGCTTCCCGCACGAATTTTGCAAAATCGGCGCGTCGCGTTCGCGAACGTCGTTGCCGCCGTCCCACTGCACCGCGTCAGATGCACTCGCCTCGCCTCGCGCGTCCGCTTCCGCCACTTCCGTTTTTCGAGATCTCTCAGTGCAAGAGCTGGACCTAAAACTGTTGCTCGCAAAGATGGATCCGGTCTCCGTGCAACCCGTCATATGCACTTTCCAGTCCCTCGACTCACCCACCCGCTTTTGCCCTTCTTTCCTCCATGATTCATCCCCGTAACAGCGACCTGCACGAGAACTACCTGACGGGCGCGATTCCGGACAGCTTCGCGCCGCTCACCTCGCTCGCCACACTGTACGCGCACCTAAACCGCCTCCGCCACTTTCACCGTCCGCTTTTCGCCTTCCGCTCTTCGCCTTCCGCTATTCGCCTTCCGCTTTTCGCCGTCCGCGTTCCGCCTTCCTCGTTCCGCCTTCCGCTTTCCGCCGTCTGACTGTACTCCTCGCGTCCGCGTCCACTTCCTCTCCTCGTTGATATTTGTTTTGCCCTCCCCCCCTTCCGCTTCCACCTTTCTCCCCGCTCCCCGCTTTCCCCCATCCCCGCCCTCCGCAGCGTTCTGGGCAACAACCGCCTCTCAGGCTCCCTGCCCGCCTCCCTCATCGCGCAATCCGCCCTCCAGAACATGTAAACCGCCGCTGCCTTGCTCCCTCCGCCGCCGCCTTGTTCCCGCCGCCGCCGCCGCCGCCCTTGCCCCTTCGCCGGCCCCCCTCTCCCTCCGCCACGTGCTTCTCTCGACCTGCACGCCCACACCCAATTTGGTTGTTCGTTGGCGTCCCTTCCCTCCTCCCTCCCCCTCCTTCATCCCCCCTCTCCCTCTCTCTTTCCCCCTTCTCTCCTTCTCGTTCCCTTTCCATGCGTCCTCGTGCGCTGCTCCCCTGCTTCTCACACCCCTTGCCTCTCCCCCGCCTCTCTTTTTCCCGTCCTCCCCTACTCCCCTCCTCCCCTTCCTTCTCCTCCGCGTGTTGCGCGCAACCCGCAGACTCATCGGCGGAAACGCCATAGCGTCCGTGCTACCGGAGACCATCTCCGCCTGGAAGAGTTTGAGACGTCTCAACTTAAAAGCCTCTCCCCCTCCTCTCCGTCCCCCTCTCCCTGCCCTCCGCCCGCAACCCGCAGACTCATCGGAGGCAACGCCATAGCGTCCGTGCTACCGGAGACCATCTCCGCCTGGAGCTCGCTCCTCGCGCTGTAAGCCCCTGCTGCTGCTCCTGCTCTCACCGTCCTGCGCGCGCCTGCGCTCTCACTGCACTGCAGTGCGCGCGCCTGCATACGTTTCGCGACGCCTCTCTCTCATCCGCGCGTCGCCCTTTCCCTCCTGAAGTTCCTCCCACCCCCTTTCTCGCCTCCCTCCCCTCCTCCCCCCTCTTTCCTTTCCCCTTTCCGCCCCCCCCCCTTTCTCCCCCCCCACCCCCCTTCCGCCTTCCGCCTTGTGCATGACCCCAGTGACATCAGCCGCAACAAGTTCTATGGACGCCTGCCGGCTGCTCTCGGGTCCTTCACGGCGCTCGTTCACCTGTACGTGCCACCACACGCTGCCACTGCCCACCGCTGTCCACCTCTACTCACCACTGTCTGCCTCTTTCTGCCGCTGCCAGCTGCAAGCATTCACACCCAACAGGATCCCCACCGTTCTTCCCTTCCTTTTCCTTCTCCACGCCCCAACTTTTTGAGAATTCTCAAAAAACACGCATCCCCTTCCTTCTTCTCCCTTCCCTCATCCTCCTCTCGCCCCTCTCCCTTCCTCGTCCTCCCCCCTCCCTGCAGGGACGCGAGCGAGAACCAGTTCACGGGGGCGCCCGTCTCCTCCTTCGCGTCGCCAGCCATGGCCAACACCTCCCTCGCCACGCTCGACCTCTCCGGCAACTTCCTCTCCTCCCCCGCCGCCTCCTACTCCGCCGCCTCCCTCCCCTTCTGCCCCACCGCCCTGCAAGGCGGCTACGCCGCCTCCACTCTCCTCTCTTTGGGTGCTTCTCCGTATAGCTCCCAGAAGGGTAATTGCTTTCTGGCGGGTAGCTGGAACACGACGGAGAGTTTTACCGAGGATAAGAGGAGGGGAGGGTGGAAGTCGGAAGGCGGGAAATCGCTGGACGAGCGGAAGAAGCTTAAAGACAGCTGGTCCAATTCGGGGCAGAATGGGAACAGCGGCAGCAGCAGCAGCGGTGGCAGCAGCAGCAGCAGCAAGAAGAACTCGTTGAGCAACAGCAACAGCAACCGCAACAGCAACGGGAACGGGAACAGCGGCAGGAGTGGCGGCGGCAGTGGCAAGTGGGGCAGGAAGCTGTATGGCAGCAGCAACATCAATAGCAACAGCAACAGCAACGGGAAAGGAAGCAGTAATGGGAATGGAAACAGCGGCACCAGTGGCAGCAGCGGCGGGAGTGCAAGCGCGGGGACGGGGTGTCCGGTGGGGGCGCAGCGGCGAGCCATCGAGTGTGTGGCATTCTGCGGCGCGGCTCTCCCCGCGGGGCCGTGCGGCGGGCTCGGCACGTGCTTCCTCTCCGGCCCCTCCAACACCCCCACCTGCGCCTGCAACGCCGGCATGTTCAACGTGCGGCTCTCCATTCAAGTGGGCAAAGAGAAGGTCTCCTACCCCTCCTGCTCGCCCAACCAAGGCCCTGCCCCTCCTCGTGAGTGCCTGTGCCTTGTAACTCTGTGGTGACTTTTGAGTCGACTCAAAAGTCCCCTCCTCGTGAGAGCCTGTGCCTTGTAACTCCGTGGATTCCGTGCGTTTTCGCGAATCGCATCTAGCATCGCTCATCCTCTCCCTGTGTTGCTCTTCTTTCATGTGTGTCTCATTCCCCTCCGCTCTCCCTCTGCTCTGTGTCTCGTCTTGTGCAGCTCCTCCCCCTCCTCCCGATGCTAACACATGGCGAAGGCGAGGTGAGCCAACCTTCCACCCCTCCACCTCTCCTGCTCGCCCTTCCTTGACTGCTTGTGCCCATGGCGTCGCCCTTTGATTCTCTTTGCATTTCGTCCTCTTTTTTCATTGTTCACTCACTCATTCGCACTCTCTCTCTCTCTCTCTCCCTCTCTCTCTCTCTCAAATGGTCCTTTGTATTAATTCAGCAGGGGGTACAGACATGCAATTTGACTCGTGGTTCCCTTATACCTTCCGACCCATCAATCCATCCCTCTGACCCTCCCCCCCCCCCCCCCCTTAGTGCCCCTCTAACCCTCCAGCGTGTGGAGGATGTCCCCTAGGTGCAGCGGCCATGGGTCCGCTGCCATCTGGGGGTGCGCTGCCTCAATCCCCGCCCTGGCCTTGGTGCGCTGCCCTCAATCCCCGCACTCTCTCTCTCTCTCTCTCTTTCTCTCTCTCTCTCTCTCTCTCTCTCTCTCTCTCTTTCTCTCTCTCTCTCTCTCTCTCTCTCTCTCTCTCTCTCTCTCTCTCTCTCTCTCTCTCTCTCTCTCTCTCTCTCTCTCCCTCCGCTCCGCTCCACCCCATAACAGAGTTCCGAGGAGCAGATCTGGACGACACGGCAGTAGCACGCGGTTCCTACTTCAACCCCTACTTCCGCTACGCCTCGCTTGGCTTCATCGGCAACTACACCAGCCCAAAATGGAACATCACTCCCACAGTCGACTGGCGCACTCGTGTCCCCACTGCGCTCGCCCAGGCCAAGGACCAAGGCCTCTGCGGTCAGTGCCTCGCCTCTCACCGCCCCACCTCTCCTTTTTGTTCTTCCTGCTCACGCTGCTGCTCCCAGCATTCGCACGCACCTGCTCACAACCCTCCTTACCTCCCCTCTCTACCTCATCTTGCTTTTCCCTCTGCGCCCTCCCTCTCCCCCTCCGCAGCGGCGTGTTGGATATTCGCGCCGGTGGCGGCGGCGGAGGCGCTGTATGCGATAGTGTACGGCGCAGCGGCGCCCAGCCTGGCGGAGCAGAAGGCCATCGACTGCCAGGGCACCTGGTCCTGCGCGGGCGGCCGCCCCGACGACGCCTTCAACTACATCGCTGCTTCCGGTGGCCTCCCCAACTCCTCCGCCTACCCTTTCACCGGAGTCCCCAACAACAGCACCTGCCGGGTCACTCGCAAGCGGTTGCTTTCCGTCAATCCCACCCGCCGTCTCCTCTCGGATCTGTTCAACTCAGGCAACACTAACACCAACGCCAACGGCAACGCCAATCCCAACAGCGCCGTCGTCCGCAACACCTTCTCGCACACGCTCGACCGCCTTCTCCTGCCCTCCTTCTGGTCGGGTCCTGCTGCCAAGGCGCCGCCGGCCGCGTCGGTGCCAATGCCCAACTCGGCCTACTCCGTGTCCATGTTTGAGCGCGTGGGCATCAGTGGGTGGCTGGGCCTGGCCATTGCCGTGCAGCAGCAGCCCGTGGTGGTTTACATTGAGGCGCGGGCTGATACGTTCATGAACTACACTGGGGTGCGTCTCTCTCTCTCTCTCTCTCTCTCTCTCTCTCTCTCTCTCTCTCTCTCTCTCTCTCTCTCTCTCTCTCTCTCTCTCTCTCTCCCTCCCCCTCCCCCCATCTCCTTTTACGTATACCATTTTTTTTCTTTCTTTTTTTCTCGTGGGTTTATGAATTTCGCCACCGTTCACATAATGAAACCCGCAGTTCTTTTTTCCCCCGTCTCGTTTTTCCTCCCCTCCCCAGGGCTACGTGTATGCGGATCCCAACTGCTACGCCACGCGGCTGGTGGACCATCTGGTGGTGGTGGTGGGGTTCAACCTGCTGGACGCGACGCCCCACTGGATCATCCGCAACTCATGGGGCCCATCGTGGGGCGAGAATGGCTACATGAAGATCGCCATTGCGGGCGGCCCCGGCATCTGCGGCATGAACACCCTGCCAGGCCTCTACCCCTCCATTGTCTCCCCCGACCCCTGCAAGCCCATCAACCCATGCGGAGGGGGTGTGTGCACGGCGGTTACAGGCAACAAGAACCAGCGCAACAAATGCACGTGCCCTGCCAACTTCATTGCCGTTACCAATCTTGATCGGACACAGTCCTGTGCTCTGGGTATGCCACAATCTCTCTATTTTCTTTTTGTGTGTGTGTGTGTGTGTTTTTTTTTTTCGTCTTCTTTCTTTCTTCCTTTTCTTTTCTTGGAGGCTTGGGATTAATTTATGTTGTGTTCATTTCTGGTAGAAGTTGCTGTCCGTCCCCTTTTCTCAAAGGGACACTCCATCCCTTTGTGAAGCCCTTCCAGCTCTTATCTCTAGCCCTCTTGGATTCCTGGTGCCGTGCAGTTTAACATCCGTTTCCCATCTTCTTCACTGCACGTCTCCTCAACTTCTCTCTCCCCTGCTGCGTCCTTTTCTCCCTCCCTCCTCCTCCCACCCATCCTCTCCGCAATCTCCCCCCTCCCACCACTCCAGCCAAGGTCTGCGCGTTCTTCGCAATGAACCCGTGCGGCTTCGGCACGTGCATTGATGACAACAAGGGCGGCTACTCCTGCCTCTGCTCGCCGGGCT